ATTAAGCTGATGCAAATTCAAGGGTTTCATTTGTATAATTTCTTCTATTCAATTTTTAATTCAATTTGTGGGTACAAGACTTAGACTTTTTACTCCTCCAACAGAGGGGGTTGTGTGTTGCTCTTAAAAAAGAGTGTTGCTTTTGCACCTACCATTCAGGCATTGTTAAGTTTCTTGTCTCTCGGGTTCATGCTGTTCAACAAACTGATGGCTTTTATATGACAACAGATAGATGCTATTCAAATGAAACCCATACAGGTCTGTTATGACAGGCTGGAAGTAGGGGATTCTAAAACCTCTGTCATCGAGACTGATGAGGATTAACCCCTAACTTATGTGCTAAGCTGGATAGTCAATGATGGGTAAGAGAACACCTCAAGACCCTTGTCCCTAACTGGGAGGCCTCACCATCCTAAGAAAAGAGCTCAACCGAATGGCTGAGTATTCAAAGACTGGAAAGAGCTCAAACAAGTGGCTGAGTATTTAAAGACTGGAAAGAGAGGCTACAGTCTTTTGTTCTGACCTAAGACAGGCATGGTTTCAGTAAGTTTTCCCAGACATCCCTTTTGAATAATTTTAAAAGGGGGACCTGTTGGGAGACAAGTCCTAGCAGAAAGCGGCTATCATCTTTGCAGCCATCTCCAGCCATATACTCTGACAAGAGACTTGTTTTTCAACAACCTACAACAGCTGAGCACACTGTGATAAACATCTTGTTTTTCTCACATATCTTGTTTTGCTATTTAGTGCCCCCAGCTGCAAGGGTGTACCTGGTAAAATGCCTTCAGCTGTGTTCCCCTGCTTGTGCCCATGAATACCCAGGATTTCCTTTCAATAAATGAGACTTGATCAGACTCTCTGTCTTGTTTCCATTCTTTGTGTCTCTTGCCCCTCCATCCCCACTCTCTCTTTTGCCAGACCATGTTGACTGACCCAAATGGACCAGGTCAGGTGACTACTACCATTCCTCCTACAATTGGGGAACTGAGACCTTTGATGTTGAGAGCAGGAAGGCCAGGAGTCTTTGTGTCTGTTTAACAACTAGTAACCACTGAAAATCTAATGATGAGTATTGTCACTCCAGCACAACTAAGTTCCAGACACCTCACTGGGGTGACTCAGGGGTAACACAATGACAGAAACTGATGAAAGAACAAAAAAATCTATAATCTGCTAGGTTGTGCTGACCCTGCTGGAGTGTACCTGTTATGCAGCCTGGCAAATCAGCTCAGCATATCAGATAAGGGTTGCCTTATCTGGCATCAAAGGGAGTGGAGGTACTTGGTCCTGTGGAGGCTTGTTTCTCCAGTGAACAGGGATGCTAGAGGGGTGAGGATAAATGGGTGGATGGGTGGGGGAGCGCTCTCTTAGAGGCAAACAGGAGGGGGTCTGGGAAGGAGTTTATGGAGGGGAGACTGGGAATGGGGACAGCACTTGAAATGTAAATAAATAAAACAATCAGTAACAGAAAATCAATTCATATATACAGCAAGAGGAGGGGGATTAGCTTGTTTTGGTTGGAGGTCTCTGTAGTAGAGCAATCTCAGATGTTGTAAATATCAGGGATTGGGAGCTGTTGTTGAAAGTTTCTGCATGCACTGGTTTTAAATAAATGTTAAACCTTCATCAGCATTCCTACTTAGAATAGGCAAAGACTTTGCCATCTCTCTTTCCTCACCAGGGGAAGGGTTTGTCATTGCCAAGGTTCTGAGGTATTCGAGCCCATGACATGTCTGTGCTCATGTCAACACTACACAGTCAAGAGTCCATTTACTTTCCAGAGTATTGGTAATTTATTCTAGTAAGTGTGATTTGGGTAGGTTTAGACCCATCGGTACTGGTCCTATGTTTCTAATTCATCTGAAGAAATTTATTTTTTTTTCAAGATTTAAAAATATATATTTGTTTTTAGAAAAAGCAAACAAACAAACAAAAAAAACCCCAAACCCAAAGTATCTATTTCATGAAAAGCATCACCAAATGAAGCTTTTTTCAAGAAATGAGATTTATGAATCCAGTTATTTGTACATTTATTAGTTCTATTTTGTACACAAACTAGCTCACACATCTCATCTTTAGAGGATACATACAGAATATACAAATAGTCTTTGGGTGACATTGATGCCCCTTATTTTTTAGACTAACTTTAAATCAGAACTTATTGGTTGAGAATCACTGCATTGACTTGAAGTGCCTTTTAAGACAAGGAGGTACAATCTACACAGATGCTTGAAATTAATAACAAAAGATTCTGGTTTCTGTTTTGACATGAGAAGCCATTCAATATTTTTGGTCTCATACCAGAATTTCTAGAATAAGGTATCTACAAAACACATGGGCAGATAGATATAAACTTAATGCTTGATTCAGAACCTTGTTTTATTTGTTTACTTCATGCTACAATACAACCTTTCAGAGTCAAATACATAATGTCCATAGGTTTCCTCAAACTCAAGACTCAAAGCCGCAGTTCTATACCTCTTTGAGGCAGCTGTAGTATCCAAAAGAGCACAGCATACTAACTGTGGCACTAAATCCCACTTGTATGTAAATCAAAAGAAAACGAAAAAACCAAAAATCAGTGATGTCATTATTTCGGATGCATATTTCTAAAGTCACTTCTTTCTCAACACTGGCAAGTTTTAAAAACTCCACCCCAGGGCTCTTTTATCCCCCTTGAAACTTCCCCAGCAATTCTTATATCAGCCAGAGTTGGAAATCTTTGCTGTAAAAGAATATCTAATTAAGCAAAACCATGATTAATTTAAAAAGCACAGTACAAGAAAATTGCAGACACATGTGGAATAGATTTAGAAACCAAAGGACACAATTTTTGAACATTTTTTTTTTACCTCTTTCAAGGCTCAAAGATTACCATTAGCACAATTTCCACCATAATCCTACCAACTAAGGAAAGGTACTACCACTTGGGAAAGTGGAGTCAGTGATAGAGTGTCTATTCATCATGCAAGAGACTGTTCCATCCATAGCTTACTAAAGCAAAGACCCCAAAAATCAACCTGGACAGAATCTTATCAAATATCACTAATCACCCATTGTTATACTCTTTGCCACTGGGAGAAGATTGAGATTTTAGACATAAACAATAAAGACATAGTCTCAGGGCACTGGAAGAGTGACAACTCTGGCACTTTATGCCTAAGGTCCCATCCAGGAAATGAATATTAAAGATACACCTGTGTTAAGGGAATGGGCACACAATTTAAGAACAGTGCTCATTTGAGCCCATTGGTTGTCTTCCTTCAATTTTCAGACAACAGAATCACAAATAGAAGGACAAATAAAGGGGTAGGTCTTTATCTTTTACTAATTGCCCTTCACACTATGGAGCTATTCACAGATGAACCATGAGATCATTTCAGTTTAGGTAAGTTCATGATACATGTGCTATACTAAAGGCTGGTTGCAGCAAGGTTTCACTTGAAACTTTCATTGATTGATAAATTAGACATTCTTTTCGAATGCTTTACTTTTGCTAAAATGTAGATTTGATCCAATGTAGTATATAGTATACCACTTTTCACATTTACTTTTAGGCATCATATTACAAGTAGGTTACAACCCCAGCAATGGGCACAGATTGTTCTATATCAGGGGCAGAGGAGATGGCCCAAAACTTGGTCCTTTGTTCATCCTAGCTGATGGCCCAAACTCATCTTATACCAAGGGCTCATAAAAATCAAATTAAATCAAGGCAGCACAGCATGGGAAGAGAAA